GGGTTAATACAAGCGCTCGACAGCTCTCTATCTTGTATAGCTAGTATTCGATTATGCTCATAGAGGAATCTTACAATTAGTCAAGTTCCGGAAAAGATGCTCAAGTCTGTCCCTGACTGAATTGTATGTGTTTCTGCCACCCATCACAAGCAGCAAGATAAAGATGGATCGACTGCGAGGAGCTGAGTAATAAGATAAAGAGAAGGATACTTAGGGTCCAATCGTGCCAGTTGATACCCGTCGTTCACACAAGAAGCAAAACTAAATGCTGAATGTTAATGGGCTTGTATACCTCTCCGCCCTTTCGCAGGTGCTGATATATCATAGCATCTGTACCTCAGATTTCAGGGGTGGGTGGACGGTAGCGTGGAAAGAATGTTGATACTTGTAAGATTGGTAGCAATCAAATTTCCAGGATCCGTGGTCTAGTGGTTATGACATCTGCTTTACAGTGTTAGCATCGATCGCAGAGGATCGCAGGTTCGATCCCTGCCGGATTCATTTTGACGTTTTTTTTATTTGCTATCTTACCTCTCTGCAGCTCGTAGCCCATTACATTAGTCTTGTTGCATTTACAGATATAAAGGCAAAGAAAGGGTGAGAGGGCTTCAGACATACAGAGCGGCTTATTAAGCATGACCGTTCTCTTGTAAGGAGATTTTTCATTATATGCCATGCAACCAACGCAGACTCTTGAAATACTCAGTCAGGAGAGAATTTACAGTGAAAGACATATCAGATAATCTGGTTTAACTGATCTGGAAACACATGAGAACTTTTAGCTTGAGGTAATGTTTTGCCTTCACTCCTTGGTCGAGACAATGAACCCACCCATCTTTGGAACTCCTTTCCCCAAGCCACTCGAAGCCAGAAGCCATTAAATTTTCTCATTCGGACCTGCAATAAGCATCTTGATAACCTGTCCCTCCAACACCTTCTGGAATGCTTCCTCCGCCTTCTCGAACGGCACCTGTCCCGAGATAAGCTTCTTCACATCGATCTTGCCACTGGCGACCAGCTCCAATGCAAGCTTGTAGTCTCCGTGATTGTACCGGAACGACCCATACGCCGCAGCCTCCTTGCTAGCAAACGCCATGATTGGGAACGTGATATCCGACTTGCCCATGCCACCCTGGACATATGTTCCGCCGACCTTGAGCGTGTGAATGGACGCCTGGATACTGGGCTCCGCACCAGAAGCATCAATGACTACATCCGCGCCATCGGGCAGTCCACATGTCTTCTTGATGTTCTCGGCGTTCTCCTCGGCACTCACCCGCTGCGACAGGTAGGTGTGGGTCGAGGCGAAATTCTTGGCAAACTCGAGCTTTCCGGGCACAATATCGACGCTCACGACGGTACTGGCACCATAGGCCTTCGCAACCGCCGCACACAGCAGGCCCACTGGACCCGCACCCATGACGACCACGCTCTGGCCGGGCTGCACGCCCGCCTGGCGCACAATGTGCACACCCACAGCAGTCGGCTCGATCAGCGCGCCCTCTTGCAGCGAGACGTGGTCGGGGAGCTTGTAGCAAAAGTCCTCTGGAGCAGCGTAGAAACCTGTGAGCGTGCCGTGGATGGGCGGTGTGGCGGCAAAGACCATGGCGACGCAGAGGTTGTACTTGCCGCGGAGACAGTGCTCGCAGCGGCGACATGGGTAGCCAGGCTCGACGGCGACACGGTCGCCTACCTTGAGCGAGGTGACGGCATCGCCAACTTGAGCAATGACGCCGGCCGACTCGTGGCCTAGCACCATAGGCTCTTTGAGGATAAAGGAGCCGATGCCGCCATGCTGCCAGTAGTGGACATCGGAGCCGCAGATGCCGGTCCAGGAGACGGAAACGAGGACTTCGTGGGGCGAGCTGAGCTTTGGGACAGGCCTGTCACCGAAGCTTACGTCCTTGGGCTTGTTCAAGATGAAGGAGAGGTTCTGGTAGCGAGTTAGATAAGGAGTTGCACATTGGAGAGGGGGGGGGATGTTTGTGTTTATCCAATCGCGACAACGTGTGGCAGACTTACTGATTTGCCGTCCATTTTGGAATTAGCCGGGTTGTACCGTTGTGAGACACGGTGATTCGATGAGAATATAATGCGACGTGAAAACGGGGTTCCTGCAGAAAATACAGATGTAGGTTGCGGTTGTAGATACCTAGGTATTTGAAGCCTAATAAGGTGAGAATGGGGAAGCTCGTGGCTGTAGGTGGTGTTGGCGATTCGTGATGTAATCTTGACGATTGTCTGGACCCGAGAAGAAACTATAAGCAAACACGATCAATCCTCTCTGAAATATAAAAAGTTCAAGTCCGAGTAATCGAGTGATCAAGCGTGCAAGTATTCGGAAACAAGCGGCGGGCTTGTCGGTTTTGTTCGATAAGATCGTGAAATTGCCCCTCCTCGACTTTCCCAATTTCATCCCTTGAAGCTGGTTCCTGGGCGCCCCCAATGCGGGGAGCTGCAAAGTATGGTCCCCGCTGTTGCAGCGCATGAGCTCGCCAATGTCACGTCACCACGCAGCGCCCGTCAGGCGTGAGGAACAGATCATGTCAGCGCCTCACGGACTTTATCCAGTGCATTTAGCCGCGCCAATAGCCTGCAAGACAGGAAATTTCCTGACCGCCTAGCAAGCGGGTCAAGTGTTGTCCGCTACCTTCTAGGGAATACCGTAATCACGATAGCATCAGGGGCACAACAGCCCGTTCCGTTCACCCACAATCACAGACCACTTTGATTAGACGATTCTGTCCTCATGCTTGGGTACGAACTAGATGGTGTTGCTGGACATTGCGCGGTCCTGCTAGTGCCGCAGTCATCGGTGATTGTATGCTTCCTCTGCAAACCCCATCCTTCAGCTTCACGCATCTCTAGGAGCGACAGACTCATTTGTTCGATATCTGATGGGTTTTGACAATGGCCTGATAACCTCCTTGCGAAGAGAGACCACCACACTGCCGGCACTGAACTGGTGATGCAGCCCACGCCGAGCTCCATGTTTGAGAGCAGGATGGTGACGCCGTGCCAGTCTACCAGGTTTTGAGCAGGTGTGAGCGTCGACGATCATATATGTCTTGGACACAGTAAACGTTTGGACCTGATACTCACAATTTTGTTCTGTTATGGAGGTGATAGCTTTTGTCGAATATGGTACGTGGATTAGGGTGAAGATGAAAGCGCTGGAGGAGGGTTAGCGGGGTCAGACGGCGAGAAGAATTTCGACAAGTGAAAGAGGAACCTCACATGGACCCGAACACTAACAGGCCAATTGTCTGCCACTTCTTCCATCTGTTCATTCGGAACTTCCACAGCACAACCCCGGGCACCATCATCAAAAGCACATCCATGATAGCCATCGACATAGGGCCGAGTCGGCCAAGCACCAGGACTCGGTCGCTCGCGCATTGTCCGGAGTCGGCCTTCCAACCTGTCTCTACAGGTGGACAGGACAAAGATGCTCCTAACACAACTACACTGTTGGAACACCAAGCCATCGTGAGCAGGACGTAGGCCGCAACGCGAATATACTTAGTCATGCTGCTCGTGATACGCCGAAGAGTCAGGCTGCTCAGACGTCTCGTCAACATTGCAGCCCATAAGCACGAGTTAGACGAGGATGGGTTTTGTGGGTTTGGCCACGAACCTGGTCGAGGATATAATGATGGCGAGGGTCAGGGCGTAGATCCAAGTCCAGATGAAGAAGTACTTGAAGCTCTCTGCCTGTTGACCGGTGTCAAACCCCGAGTCGCTGCTTCCACTGCCTGACAAGAAGCAGTACACCCCTAGGGTGGTGCTGGCAATGTAAAGTATCTGCTTTGGTCAGGATCTGAGGCCTTCACGATCCCAGAATGAACACATACAGTCCCCACCAAAATGAAGGCGTCGTCGAGACCGAAATGGCTATCACGGCAACGTATATAGGTACGGATCCCAACGGTCACCAATGACACAAGTAGGAATGTCGATAGTAAGATGACGCTGGCCAAGGGGAATGGACGCAGGGAGATGAGCGGCAGGGAAGATCTTATCGAAGCCATGTGTAAAACGCCTCACACGAAGGAAAAGAGTTCGAGATTCGCGAGAGTTAAAGCAACTCCCATCCAGAGTTCAGTGTCCACTTCCGCAACGGTGCGGGTTTTGAGCAAACCAAAAGATCCTGATGTTGTAGACATTCTTTGTGGAGGAGGTTCGAGATTTTTCATAGAGTTCGCCACGGATTGACGATCACATCACACCTCTTGGACAGACTCTTAATTGGGATAGAGTCCCAGTCACAATCTTATGGATCGGTAGCGAAAATACGTTAGTGTGCGCTCTGACAGCCAACCTTGAACTTTTTCAATTGAGTTTTGGAAGATGATCTGAGTTGCATTTGATTTACGTCGAATCTTCTATTCACGTCTTGGCAGCACGGCAGACGTTGCAGACGTTTCGAACTTGGGTGAGTACGTGTGCTCCCAGGTTTCGGTCTTGTATTGGCCGTTGAATACACCCTAGACGCCTCGCTTGCACGCCGGCGCAATGACCTCTCATCGACTTGCCGAGGTTTAGCAGAAGGACCAGTCGATCCAGGATCGTGCCACACAGCCATGATCTGAATATACTAAACATCGGCGTGGTATTATGTAAACATAGGTATTTAGAACATGGAGCATTTGGGCCGGCGGCGCCGGAGCTATCACGGTCATCAACAACAGACTGGACCTTCTGATCGAAAAATGACTGCGGAGTCTGCTGTATTGAGATATGTGATGTTGGGGCCTTGGTCTCTGTCGATACTCCGCCACGAAGTCTTCGTGTTTTAGCTGAAGGTACACGCTCCTCAGTCAAATAACAGAGGCTATCTACCCCCTAGCCTGTAACAAGACAGGATTGGGAACGCCTTGCCTACCACTTGCTATTACTAGCTAAATCTTCTCTGGATGCTATGATCAACAAGGGAACGGGCACCGGCCGTACCTGTAGTTAAGAGGGGTGATATGATATATCCCTACCTCAATAGACGGGTATAATTCAAGCGACTTTCGTCTGATCAACACTAGGTACTTTTTAAATGTACAACAGGGAGATCAGAGGCATGCTTGGTGACGAAAACAATTTGAATAACATCTTCCTCATGCGCACATACCGCTTCGGCTCTTCATTTCCCACGCCAACTACCACCACCCCTCGATGCACCGTTTGATTAAGGACCACACCACGGCAAGATAGATTAGATTACGGGATGCACTGATAGTTGTTGATCATAGAAGAAGGGAGAACCACTTCAATCGACTCCGCTTCATTGAGGTCATTCCCAACACAGCTAGCGGCCGCCGGCGATTGCCTCGTCAGGATTTACAACCACCACAAGTGTCACGGAAATTGGCAAAAAGAGGCAAAGAAGCCTGCGCAATGCTACGTTATGACAAAATTCCCTTTACCAGTGCCTTGCCAGACTTGGTCCCTAAATACGCAACTAGCATTCGTCATCAGTGGCACTGTAGTGAGTAGGAGAAAAGAAAAAAAAAGGCCAAAAAAGAATCCGATGACGGGAATTGAGCCCGACGTGGGGGTCGAACTATTAATATTGTTAGTATGAGGTTGTGAATCCAGGCTCTTTGGAATTGAACGTACCCCACAACCTTGAGATTTCAGAAACCGTGAGATTGCTAAGAGTCTCACGCTCTACCGATTGAGCTAGCCGGGCGTCTTTTCAGACGCTGTTGTCACAGAAGTTTTTTGGTAAGTCTATAATGCATAGTAGCAGAATTTTCTTGAGAGTGGATGCGTGGGGTCCACTTTTATGGCGGATGAACCAATATAACAGCTCGGACGCTTGCTACATGGCAGGCCTGCGAATTTAGAAACCGGACGTCAAGGGACGCTTGGAGATGGTCGCCGCGACGAACCATTCCTTAACACGAGCATAACAGTGAAACGATGCAGTTGGGCGCCTGACGGGTCGTCTCGGCTCCGGGGGAATCGTGCACGATGTCCATTTGCAGCATAGCCACCCACGGGATCATCAAGTATAACGTTGTCAATCACTTATATGACAAGGACTTGGGTAATCACTTACTACATAGTACCTAGGCATGTACGGAGAATCTTCTTTGGGATTAGAAGTATATGAAATCAGCGGCAGTGGTTTCACATCAACCAGGTCCTGTATGGGAAAGTTAATAATATCGTCACTATCATATTATTTTTAGGTGACTACCATAGTAACTACCGAGGTACCTGGATTGTGTGGGCCCATCTAGCAATTATGCAAGGACAAGACCTTGGGGCAGATTGTTGAGTGTTTTCTATATGATCCGGCATTTTGATACTGCAGACATCTTCATACTGAAGAAGTACAGGGCCTGGAACGCTGCTGTTTCCGCGTCAACTTGAGTCGAACAGAACTTCATAGGAGAAAAGGACATGGCACTCGTTTCGGGAAGACCTCCAGTCACACACTTGTCCTCGCGAAAATCCCTGCGTTGTTACATTCCGAGAGCAATGAATCCGACTGGAACGAATGGAGCGTCTATGTCTAGATCGAGTCATCATACGCCTGCGGAGGGAATGCTTAGATGCCCAAGCGACGGGCCGACGGCATACTCAGTGTCTTGGAAAACTGCAAGCATGATGGCAAGAGTAAACTTTCCAGCTCTTAATCGCCAAGATTATAGGCTAGTTGCTCAGCTGAAAGAAAGCCCATGGTATATCGTCACTTCTAAGGATCACAGGTACCGCATAGTTGCAAAATAGGTATTAAGCCACCTCGGAGTTTTTATATATGCAGAAGACCAAGCCAAGATTCTAGTTAGCTGATAGTCGCATGTCATTAAGCGACTCAACCTTTCTCCTAAACATTTCCCCGTCATTAAGATCGACGAACCAGTTCCTCCAATTTCCACGACACAACTTCACCAACATCCAAAGCGTGAAGAACACGACAATCTATTCAAAGAAACATCAACACACCGCGAAGTTGGTTTGTATCAGCAAAGATCGAGGATACGGCAGCTTGCTTACAACAAAATACGAGGAAAGGAATGGGATCGTCTGGAATCCTTTGGTAAACGAGGCCCCACTAGCTCCGAAGAGGACAAAGATGCAGCCCAGGAAGGCGAACGTGGCTGTGACTGGCTGCAGATGGCTTCGATAAGGATATGTGTCTCTGCGGTGTCCAAATCCACGCAATAATTGAATGTATCCAAGTTCTTCAAGGATTTCGCGGTGGCGTTTGAGGCTTGGTGATATTGTTAGTCAATTGTAACGTGGTGCTTCCACGCTGAAAAGTGGCCCCGGGGTCCGTCCACCTGGGCAGGCTGAACACACCTGAAATAAAATCTTATGAAAGCAAGGCACACACATGCCCACACAATTACGATTGCAGAAGATGCCATGTCTCCCAATGTGTCGATGAACTGTAGAGGGATTCACGTTAGCTGCTATGTTGTTCAAGCCGGCCTGGAGAGCACTCGCCAGTGTGATATCGTGGGAACTGCTCCCAGGGGCAAGCTGCAAAAATGGAACCCAGCCAAACGCAACCGCAGAGAAGATGACGGCGCGGTAAGGCACGTTAAACCTCTTGGAAGTCTGGTTGAGGTACGCCAGGGCCCATTCAGCCCAGTTGGACTGGTCTGGGCCGCCTTCCAGCTCGCGCGTCAAACCGAACAGTGTCCGCGAAGCAACGTACAAATTGGTGTTGGCACACGAGAGTGCGGTCACCACCAGAAACGCGTTGAAAGTCGAATCCAATGCCCGAATCCCAGAGCTCTGCGCAATTGACACGAAGACCGAGTTGGAGGAGCCGCAGCTGCTGCTCGCCGGGTACGTGATCCAGCCTTGGCGTGGAAGGGCACAGTCTGTGGAGCTGATGGCGAACGTAGTGAGCAGGCTACTCAAGACGTAAAGAAAGGCCGTAAAGGGCACCACCCAAATTGCTGTTCGCCGGACGGTGGCACTAATTAATTGTCCCGGTTTGTTGTTTCGTGGTGGCCTGGCTTCCAAGGACGAGGCGGCAACGATTTCGACGCCTATATATGCATACATGGCAACGGGGAGGCACATACTAGTATTGATAAAGTTGTCAGCCAACATTTTTACAATTTCTTCCAAAGTTGTGCCAATAATGTGGGAGACTCACATGACGGCAGCACTAAAGCTCTTTGCCGCAGTCCCATCGTATTGATCTTTTAAGGGGGGACTTGTCCAATTTCCAGCTGCTTCTGGTCAGTTTCTGTGCTGCTGGAAGTTATGTGGGATGCGTACGTTGTTGGCTGCCATCTTTTCTTATTGATTAGCATAACTCGGCATTAGGTAGACTCTGGTCATTTCGTTCTCACCTTGGCCAATAACTATTCCCACGGCGACAATGATCACTGCAAGGAAGAATAACTTGACGCTGCCGACAAGAACCTCAAATGAACCATACCACTAGATGAGATGAATTAGTTAGGCTGGACAGCAGCGGCGAAATACAATGGCCCGACCGGAACTGACCTTGACTTTGATCGAGTTGATGCAAATCAGGCATATTGGTATCACCAGATAGACGACCAAGCTATCAATGACGGATCTTTTCGTGCCAGCCTTTGCCAGCCAAAAATCCAACTCCGCGGCCGAGGCTGCAATCAGAGCCGCGAAGCCCACAGAATAAGCGAACCTGTAAATAGGCCAAATTAGCGAGCTCGGTGCATCGTATAAGACTTCGCCCACACCTCACCAATATGCTATCCCAACCGCGATGCCCAAATCCACGTCAACGAACTCGCGAACGTATACGGAGAGCGCACTCGGGACTGGCCAGATGCACATAAACTCCGCCACACACTGCATCACGGACCAGGCCAAGACACCTATGAGAGTGAAGGAGAGGACCACCGCAAGAGGTCCACCGAGTTCAAGGATCTGACCCCCTCGCCAATAAAGACCAGACCCAAAAGTTGCATTAATTGTGATCATCTGCAGACCTAAAGTTAAATGGCACATCTCTGTTACATTTAGGATATAGAGCTCACAAGTATATGCACACCGCGTAGCTCACGTTTCACCGTCTTCTGTGCTCCATATGGGGGTGGGACAGATATGTCGATAACGTTTTCTTGATCACAAAGTTGATAATGCTCATCGTTGGCCGAACTGTGTGTTCCAGTGTCATTGACAACTTTTTTATCGGTGTTGGATGCATTTGCACGCCCCGGCATCACCGCGCCGACTGGTATCGAGTTCATTCTGTTGAAGCAGGGGGCACCGATTCAAGCCGCTGAACAAATAGAATCACTCGTTCACAAAGTTACGGGAGACCGAGCAGTTGGTATGGACATCAATGGGGTAGGTAGGTGTGAGATAGGCAAAGTGTCGTCCAAACAGAACCAGAACCAAGGAATTCGCTGGTGAGGCTGGGGCTTAGGCCAAGCTTGGTGAGGCTCTGCTGCAGGCATGTGGCACAAAATGGCTCAGGTACGGCACAAGTACAAGGTGTCTCAAGCGACGCCGCTTCGCTTACACAGTACCTAGGTACTTACAGTACAAGATTATCCCTTGATAGTTCTAGGTCCAAGCCAAATTGTGACTTGAGCCGACTTCTCCAAGTCCGCCAACCTACCACGAGGGCCAGGCTGCTGGGATGCAGAACATACACGTGAAGGGATCTACGAGCATTGTGCAAACAGTCTTGCAAAAAATCCAATAGTATTGCCGCACCTGTGTACTTGTGCGATAGAGGGCAGCTGGTGGATTTGTTCCTGGAGTGCACGCCTGGATGAGCAATTTGGTCTGTACAAAAGTAGATCAATGTATTTAGGTACTCATACGAGATTTGTCATACTGTACAAGTGAGGAGCGGGCGTTCTAAGCGCCCGGAAAAGGTCGCCCAGCATCTGATCAGGGAAGAGATACATTCGCTGTCAGGTTGTCTGCCCAGGTGGCAGTGCAGATTGGCTACACTGTGGCTGCATGCTGACCACCCAGACTATGCTGCCGCCCCCACTAAATGACGCGGAACTTGCCTGTTGTTCATGATTGTATGCGTGTAACTATTCAGGGTACCCAATGGCATGCCTCGAATTACCTTGCATACCTATCGGGGCAAATTTCCCCTCGTCACATTCCGAGCCTGTCATCCCCAGAAAGCCTTATTACCGACAATGAGCCACTCAGCGGAGGTTTCAGTGGTTTCTCAGGCTCTGCTTCTACCTTCCTACACTTCAAGAGTGCTTCCAGCGAGTTGTTTCATTCTAGGAATGGCGCAAATAAGGCAGAACGTCGAAAATCGATACCTGGAAATGGCAGACCTCCAAGATCTGCTTCGCAGACTATTCCCCGGCCAGACAAACTTCTTCATAGATGTAAATAATTCAATTCTTACCCAAATTTGTATATGCAGTCAGAAATAGGCTAAGAAATCTCTTCAGATGAGAGATGACCAGTGGTACTTCACTGCGCCTGCTTTGGTAGATACAGTATGTTCGAACATCATGTTTCCATCCAATCTTCAAGGTGACTATCCGCTAATATACGACTATTAACAGAAAGAGATCGAGTAAGAACATGATCAAATATACGATCAGTCAATATGCATAGGAACCTGCTGAACGAATTTGTGCAGTAAAATACGCAAGATCTGACCGAAGTAGAAGAATAAACTGCGGGTCTCCTTGTTATGGTCATTTGAGACAGCCTACATGCATGGCCAGCCTTAGTGGCTTGGTG